CTGACATATGAAATTCAAGAGCAAATTTTCATTAGGTCGTAAGTAACATTTCAACTCACTTGAGAAAATCGGCTCCGATGATTTTAGAACTAATTTTTATTCCTATTTAAAAAGAAATCAATTTTATATTAACTAAATACTTCTAAACGATAATTTGTGCTATTTTTTTGCATCGCTGTGGTAAATATTCAAATTAAGTTTGATCATAATATGAGTTTTGTAAAAAATAAGATTATTCGACGTATTGGTTCACCAAACGCGCATACGACCTTTTCATAAGTCACTATGATAGGTTGCACGTTACTTTCGTCTAGGCGTTACGCTGTTTTATAAACTGACATGTTACTTACGTTGAGTGGGTTACGTTATTTTGTAAGCTGTCATGTTGCTTACGTCATGTTGGTTTCGTCGATTCGCTAAACACAAAAAAAATAAATGTTACTTACGTCAAAAGAATTTTAGCATAAAAATTATGCTCATTTTTGTTTTATTTTGTGTTTCCTTCAAGCGACAACTGTTGTGTAACTGTTTTATGTGTTTTTGTGCAGTGAACCAGTAAATATCCATCAGGGACCTTTGTACACATCGTAAGATGCTGCTTGTGATGTTCCTTTTGTAGATTCAATTGAATCTACCCCTAGATCGTTCTGATTCATGCCACGGAGACTGAAAATGGTTCGGTTGATATAGATCTTTTGGTGAGATAGACCATCAGTGGTGTCAGCCGTTCAACTGTTCACAACATAAAACCAGGATCCTGTTGAAGATTCGATGTTATGCTGGGAATTTCGTACACAGCAAAAAAAATGTAATATCGACCAACGTAATTCAAGCTGTTGTATCAAATAATGATGTAATGAAATAATTAATAAAGCAGATACAATATTACATCAAATGGCTGTTTGGAAGTAACAACTTTTTTTTCTGTGTACGGTATGTTGCAGTTTTTTCTGGCTAAAAACCTAGACCTAATTAAAAACATCTATTTTCAGATAGTACCGATGATATGCTGCACCTAATTGGTGTCTTTGGATCGGGCTTCTATGTGCGTTGGAAAAGATGTTTTGGAAATTGAACCACTTCACTTCTGGGATATGTTGAGCAAGGCGTTTTTCATGGTGCTCCAGTTGGTAGTCAGCTTAGTATCTAGATGGCTATCCACACATTTCGGAAATTGCATGGACTCAAACTTGAATCGGATTGGACGTTCTCAATTTAGCGTTTTTCTTATTTTTTATTAGTTTATAACTAGAAAAATATTTATTCCTCCAACGCGAACTTTGCCATGGAACAATTTGTTGAAACATTTCTTTTAGGACCTCAAGAAAGTTTAAGCATGTGCTAGCGAGACTGTTGGCATTCCTATTTATGTTTCGCAGAACCATGAACATCGTGTAGTTGATTGCGACGAAGAAAACTTCTTCGAAACCGGATTTGTCAAAACTGAAACCGGCACGAACCGAAAAATAGCAAAAACGCGATTAAGGAAAATATTGAGATCCACTTGGACGAGTAGTTTAAGAACGCGTTGCTGGGGTTGGATGAGGTTGTTCCGGAAATGCCTCCACCGGCAAAAAAGAATTTGAAAGAAGGAGACCAATGGACATTAGAAAAGGGAAAAGAAAAAGAAAGTGATATTGTGCCTTAACTGACTTGGCTTTTCGAGGTCCGTTAGCGCGTCATTGTGCGATTATAGCGCACTACTCTCGACACTATGTTCAACAGACCGAACGAGGCAGACCGAACGCTAGCAGGTTATTCCGGGCTTCAACTGTACTGATAATATATAAAGTGTTTCCTTAACATTCTTTGTGAAAATAACGAGAAATATAAAATGAATGACGTTGTATACATTTTTATCGCATTTCTTTTATTTACTAGATTTCAACAAGCAACTAGGTATGTACTGTTGTAGTAACTTAACGCTAACATCAGTTTTCGGCATCGCTTTCAAAGTCATATAAATCCGAATCAAAATGATCTTCAATGCCGATTTTCTGTTTTCTTCCTCGCTTAGGCTCCTGAAGGCCTGTCAAAAAAGCAGAATAGTAGCGTTTTTGTTTGATGTACGGCATTAAATTTCTTAGATCTGCCAGTTTTGCTGCCGGAAGCGGTATTGGCTGTGTTTCGATTGGACTTAGTACAAAATCTTCAGCATTACGGTGATTCTCCTGCGTTGTCAGCTCCATTGAATGATATTGCTCCTCAGATAAGTCATACTTGAATAGAACGACTCTAGGATGGTCAGTGGAGTACTTAAATACCATTATCTGTTTGAATTTTACACTGTCTCCAGCTACAGTTCGCCGAGGAATTCTATAACGGCTAGATAAATCTTTTATTGATTTGAACTCCACTTGATCCATTTCGATAACATTGAAAGGTATGGACCGTCTAACTGAAGCTATGAAAATAGCCCAGTCACGAGGCGTTTCTATGTCTATGGACGTTTTCTTCTTTGATCGTTCAATGGCTGCATGGATTGTGTCCACCTCCATATGCGAATGTCCAGTGCACATGAACTTATGTTCAATAGTAATGGATCGGCCACGCTCGCCAAACAATTCGGCAAAAAAGCTGAACAAAAACACGATGTTTTTGTTCATGTTTTGACCACCACATCGGTCGCTGTAGTAGATTACATGATTTATACAAGATGGCACTGATGTCAAATCCTTTATAAGGCAGGATCCGACTTCCTGCGACCCTCTGCGGGCCTTTGTTTCGTCCCACAAATAACAAAAAGCAGCATTTTCTCCCAGGCAACTCGCGAACATAGTGAGGTTCAATGTGTAAAGTTGTCTGCTATAATACACTCTACCTGATGTTAGGTGGGGTGTTGGAAGCTGCTTTTGTAAGTCAAAAGACACAACTCGAACCGTGGAATCGGTCTTCGATCGTCGTATGTCACATCTCTTCTCCTCGTAGACCCGTTGAGCAGCCTGTTGATGTTCTTCCAGTTTGTTTTCTATCTCCTGTTTCTCAATTTCATCCGTTTTCAATTTAATTTCAATGCGCAGTTTATCGCAAAGATCACACGTGTCCTGTTTTGGCTTGCGAAAAGACAGATTCATAGAACTAAATATAATTCTATATGTGTTGTAGGCCACTGGTACATAGCCATCGCTGGAACACTTTTCCTGATACAATTGATGCATCTTTGCCACATTGAGATCACTTGATAGATAAAGACGATCAGATCGTGCGCGACCGTAGTGGCTCGTATAAGCCGGGAATGATAATATATGTGTTTTAATATATTGCATATGCTCTGTACTGACGGTCAAGCGTGATCCATTCTTCAACCTACCATCGTCAGCAGATATACCAGCACCGGCGATTTTTTTTGCAGCGATTGTACGAATTTTCCTGTCACGAATGTCCAAAGTTGCCATGAATATGTCTTTGCAGACCTTGACTGGTCCTTCGACCGCAGGCAAATAGTATTCTCTAGAATACGCACGTCGTGAATTGACCACCTTTAAATGATATTAAAAATACGTTATGTTGTGTTGTATAGCATCCAGGGTTGAAAAAATCATCTGCATTCACTATGAAATGAATGTTTCATCCAAAGTGAACTTTGATGAATTTTAGTGATTTTTTTCAGCCCTGTCAGCATCTATAGAAGGAGACGTAGCAGTAAGTTTACTGTATAGGGTGTGTAGGTCATATTTCCTCAACAAAATTTCTGATCGACATGACAATCAATAAATTCAACGGGAGATAGATTCAAACAAAATAAATTTTGTTATGATTACGAGCAACGTTAAAAATAATGCCACTTTTGTCCCGACCATTTCCGATTTCAGGTGTAGGAATAAAGATGGAGGTATTTTGAGGTGGTTAAAAGGTGAAAGCAGCACTACGATGAACACCTGAATTTCTCAGAGGCAGAGAGCCAAGCGAGCAGGAGAAACGGCTTTATCGCTACGGTGGACGAATAAGACATACCAACTCCGAAGAGAACAACAAGGCAACTGGGAAGGAACTTATAAAAATTGACCCAAATAAGTTGGTTACTTGTTCTGCACCCACTGACAGTCAGGATCTTGGATAAAGAACACTTGGTTGTTTCAGATCATCTGGTCCATATTCTGGTCAAATCCTAAGTCAAATCTCTGAATTTATTCTAATGAGTCATCTATAGTGACAAGCAATGCATTAGGTATAGGAAAAACGTGACAAAAGTGGGAGGGGAGGGGGGGTTAAATTTTCCTCAATTAGGCGTGACATAATTAATGCATGGCCCATAAATGTCTAAACAAACACAGAGCTCTAGGTCCAGTTTCACAAATGGACAATATTTACGGTTGTATTGGATCTGGATCGTCTGGAGGATCTTCCCGTCACAACCAGGGTCCATATTCCGGTATAAACATCGAATTCATTGTAATGAGACATTTATAAGTGGTTTCGAAAAACCGAGGAACTCTAGATGCAGTTTCATGAATTGCCAACTTTAAGGTTGTTCTATGGCTCCCATGGTCCATATTCCGGTCTAAATTTCAAATTAATATAATGAGAGAGAGAAGGATTAGTAATTTCCATTTAATTCCACTACCTTATTTGCTTATCCTTGACAGATACGCGTATTTCGTCTACAATGTGCAGACTTCTTCAGTGTCTTGTACTAATACTCGAGTATTAGTGTCTTGTAGTAAAACTCGAGTATTAGTACAAGACACTGAAGAAGTCTGCACATTGTAGACGAAATACGCGTATCTGTCAAGGATAAGCAAATAAGGTAGTGGAATTTAATGGAAATTACTAATCCTTCTCTCTCTCATTATACAGGTATTCCACTAAGACGCCCACATTCATCAGGATTCAAATTAATTCTGATGAGACATCTATAAGTGGTTTCGAAAAACCATGGAGCGCTAGGACCAGTTTCACGAGTAGACTTCTTTTACGGTTGTTCTGGATGGGGTGGGTCACTTCTCGGGTCACCTCGTGGCACTCAGCGTCCTTATTTGCAGTCAAACCCGGAAGTCATTCTAATGCGACATCTATAAATGGTTTCGGAAAAAAACGCGGAATTCTAGGACCAAATTCTCGAATTGATCACTTTTACGGTTGTTCCGGATCTTCCAAAGTATCCTCCCTTAAGGTTCATATTCCGGTTAAAAATCGGGGTGCATTCTAATGGGACATTTATATCTTGTTTCAAAAAAAGAAACCGTGGAACTCTAGGCCCAGTTTCACGAATTGACTATTTTTGTGGTTGTTGCGGATCTTCCGGAGGGTTACCCCGTGGCTCCAAGGATCTATATTCCGGTTAAAACTCTGAATTAATTCTAATAAGATATTCTATAAATGGTTTCGAAAAATCCGCGGAGCTCTAGGACCAGTTTCATTAATTGATAAATTCTACGGTTGTTCCGGATCTTCCGGAAGACCAGCTGGTGCCCTACTAAAAGCTAAACTTTGCCTAAGAGTGGCTAAAAATCCGCTAATCAATTTTCCAAAAGACATCAGGAAGTCATCTCTAGGTTTCCCCACAATCAAAATTGGCCCCAAATTAGCTCCAAATCCCATATGCTACGTGTATTCGGTCCCTATTAACCTTGACTGTATTTGGTCATGTATCTAGAACCAAATGTCGAATCATAATGAATTAATTGTTGCACCTGTTACCAAGATTAAATTTCATGTTTCAAATAGAAATAGGTATTTCAAAACAAAATCTAGTGGAAATTACCTTTGGACGATCAGTTTTTTTTACTGACATGTGACTTGCAATGAATTGGTTTTGACCTGATGTTTTCAGCTTGAGTAGGTTTCTCAAAAGCTGCGCTCGAATAGTGTCCGGGTATTTTCTGCCGCAATTAAGCTTGCATTTGCAAGAAGGCTTAATCATTCGGGCGGGAACGATCCTACCGTCCTGCCGAGTATACTCGAGGCCTTTCTCTTTTTGACACTTATTTAAGTTTCTGAGTCGAGTCTTAGAAACTTTCATTTGAACAGTTTCTTTTTCCATGTTCTCTACCGCCTGAATACTTATATTTCCAGTTAATTTGTCCATTTGTATATCATTTTGTATCGGTTCGCCTGAAATTACAAATTAATATTTTTTTACTCATACGCATACATTTAAATCAAATCATTTCCACTTACTTCGCAATCGCTTTGGTGGCAAATGAATATCTTTGTTGTCAGCCAAGCGTTTACGTGCCTTGTCTACCTCACCATCCGAGTCATCGTCAAGTTCATTATCACTGACAATTGTGTTATAGTTTTGAAAATATTCATATATAGTCAAATCATTGAGCAATGTAGGATCACCATCCGCACTCTCATTAGTATCGAAAGTGTTGTTGTCAGGATTCCAATCAGGATCATCGGAGCTTGTTTTAGAGCAAACATTTTCATCATCACTATGCATCTCGTTGTTGTCAACATGCATCACTTTGTGTTCCAAAGCGATGGGCAATTCAAAGTTTTGATTTTCGAGAGCGCCGTACATCTCTTCATTGTTTTTAGAGCAAAGTGCATGATTGCGGACATCATTCCGCCCATCATTGTTTTCCGAAGGATATTGCTCTTCAGAGATATAATTTTGAAGATTTCCGTGAACATTTGAAAGATTTGATGATTCTCGGTTCCGTGTGCATTCCGGTGCGTTCGGCAAAACAGGGCTGGCTTTGATTAAACGCAAGTCTATCGGAGATATATAGGTTTGTACTTGCTGTGGTGTGTTGTGCAGAGTTGGTAGTACCAAACATAGTGCTTTTGGGCTTGAATTATTTATTGATAGGTCCATTGCTTCAGTGGACGATTTAATTGAGTAATCGATAGGAGCCATATACGGTTTCGGCAAGTGTTTCGGCGTTGATGTGACGATTTGGTTGAAGGAAACATCTAAGCTTGCAGACAAAAAATTATCATGGTCAACATGTTTAGGTGTTGAACCAACTGTACTTTTGTTGGTAGTGAACAGCGCTGAAATATGTTTAATTAATTAATGTGGTTCTAATAATAAAAAGGAGAGTGTTAATAATTACCTCTCCGTACTTTGAAGGCCGGCTGTGATATCGAATATTTCACGATTTTCTCTCCAGGCAAGGCAAGGCGACGAGAATTGGATCCATGACGCATTTCAAAGTTCTGCGAACGTACTCTTGCCGAGCGCGTAGATACTGACAAGGATTTGTCGGGTTCTGACGTAAACAAACCATCGAACGACACTGAAATTGGCTACATTAGATATTCTGCCAGATATTAGTAATGTAAAAAAAAAAAAAATTACCTTTCCGACCAGATTCAGTGTTAACCCTACTGAGATTCCTCAATGCAGGTTTAATAGAGGATAACCTGGATTTTTCAAGTTTTGGTTTGAATGAACCACTCGACACTGGAAATGTTTTAGTCAGATTCAAATTTAATATGCAATACTGTATTTATCTTATACCCCGTTCACACAACAACCTATATCACGTAACTTTCGCTGGAAATGATATGGATGACGATTGGTATCAAGATACTCTACATATATCGCATATAGGCTGTACTTTGAACGGGGTACAGAGGCCGAGATAGAGACTATGCATTAATTATGCCACGCGAAATTGAGAAAATATTTAACACCCACGTTTTTTCCAATACCTAGTGCATTTCTTGTCACATCTTTTATCACCCCCGCCCACCTTAGAGCGCGACATAATAAATGTAATTGAAACACTACTCTTACCCTTTTCAACAATGCGACCTGCATATCGTTTCAATTCATTAGCTATTGTTTTACCAGGCCAATTCGACATTGGAGCTTCAATGTTGCTCAAGTCCTGGAATGCCGAGCGCGTAGAGCTAGACAGCGATTTTGGAGTTTCAATGCTGCTCAAGTCCTGGAATGCCGAGCGCGTAGAACTAGACAGCGATTTATGAAACTCCGAACTGAATGGATAGTTCAACGACGCTAAAAAAAAATGTATGATTAGGATGATTTGTTACGAGAAATTGAGGAAAGTTTAGGCACGGTGAATGGCGACTTGACGGTACTTTTTTCTTCAAAGAATGTGAAACCGCTCTCCTCTTTTAAAGCATGACATGGGTTAAGCACAAAATGTAATATAAAAGTATCAACACTTACCCTTTTGAACAGACTGTGCATTAGAATGATCCTTATTGATGTTTTCTTCGAGTCCGGTTATTGAACGGTTGTAATCCAGCCGGGAACACGATTTCGGGATGATCTTCGAATCAAATGAACCGGTATTGGGAACTAAAATAGGAGCAATAACATTAACTAAAATATTAAAAAGGGTATGAAAATCAACTTACCATTTCCTGTTTCGATAGCAGAAATCACAGAACGGTTTGCATCCAACCGGGAACCCGCTCTGGGGACGATCTCCGAACCAAATGATCCAGCATTGGTACCTAAAATAGGTGCATTAACATTAACTTACATATTAAAAAGGGTATGAAAACCAACTTACTATTTCTTATTTCGATATCAGAAAACGTAGAACTAGCATCCGACCGCGAACCCGATCTGAGGATGCCGGTTTGTGCTACTGTGCACGAAGGCTTCAATAGAAATTTCTTGAACTCGGCTCCAAATGAACGATTTAACGGCACTAAAATAGGTTTAATGAATTTGAAAACTAGATAATATATTATTCAAGAGAACACAGTCAAGCTTACCTTTCTGAGCTGACGAATCACCGTCCATTCTTGTTGACGGTCAAAAAACAGTTGAATCTATTGATCCGTGTCGTTTCACGGTGGCGGATTTATTCAGCTGGATGACGGCAAAGAGTAGCTGCATCAGCAAGAGGAAATTGACATTTTAATTGGATCGACCAGAGTATAGAGATTACCGAAGTTTATCGTACACAAACTATGTTGAGCGACGTCGCGTATACGTATATGCACAATGTTTTCATCAGGAAAATTGCTCCCATAGCAAAATATTTTCCTGATGAAAATAAATCACAGACACAATCACACTTCAGCAATCTCTATTTACCTTCTGATTTTGACAGGTGACTTAAGTCGAATTTCGTTTATAAGACGTTTTGACATAAAATTGTCGAAAACGATGAGACGTTATGAGCGTTACATAAGTCTTTTTACAGGTAAACCGACCAATGTCGCAAAGTAGTATTGTTGTATGGTTGTGTGGCATAAGTCGATTTTTCAATGTGCAAATTTTATGTTTTACTATCAAAACATCACCATGAAAATTTAAATCCACATTAATGTACGCTTGAGCTATCGTATCGCACGTAAATCTCGTTTTTGTTTACATTGTTACTTACGACCTAATGAAAATTTGCTCTTGAAATGCACTTTAATTAGCGAATACCGTTAGCTTAGAGAAAAGTAAGCATGTTTCAGTTAGCGAACGTTGAGTTTAAAATAAAAATACTTAAGATTTGAGGGTGCGATTTTTCAAAGCAATATTTTTCTTTGAAATATCAACAGTACTCAGTCATCAATTCAACTTTACGTACTTTGCCCTAATATTCAACATGCAAAAAGCCACAGCGCATTTTCCACCCAGTATCAACCATTATATGTACACTGAGCGAATTTACCATGTCGTAAATATGAGATACCCGATTGACTGATAATTGACATTAAATGGGATGATGCATCATACATATCATAAAAGAAAATATCAACCACTTAATGAAGTACCGTTCAAATTTTGAAAGGTATTAACAATAAATGAACTCAAGAACAGAAATGAACTAAAATCATCCAAGTGAACCCCATAACGAAAATCATACAACAACTGTCATGTGATTCATTTTCATATCGTTTCGGTTTCCCATTGCGTTTTGGCCTTACCATTTTTTCGCATACCACGGGGAGTGTCACCAAAAAGCGAACGAGAAAAAAGTTTTCGGATTCATGTGGCAAAAAATTATCTACTCGTTTTGTTCCCATTTGATTCGAATGTTTCAGTGCCCGTGGATTATTCGCGAACCACAAGTACCAGAACGCAGAACTTCCCCTTTCGTACTACGGCAAGTCGCCGAACGAGTGGAGTGGTACAAACTGGCCAAGTTGGCCATCGACAGAAACGTGTAATCAAAAAACATCCGCTGGTTGATTCAAATTCGTAGACTTCAGTAAGTTACTGGGAGGGAGGTCCTTTGTTTCAAGCAATACGATTCTAACAAACCAAATTTATCTTCCAGTGATATCTTCAAGACCAACTAGCTGATGAGCTCGTTCCAGCAGATTTTGGACAACATTTTCAAACTGCTTTTCGAGGCCACAAACAACCCGAGCCAACATTCGAAATTGCACAAGTTCCTACAGCACGAGATTGGGTTCGATTCCGTGTATGACGAGTCCAAACCGGTGAATCCACTGTTTGATGGGGAACAAACTTTCATAGCGAATCAAAACAAACATTGCGTAGTACTAGAATTTTGACTAGAATGGGGTACGTTAATCGTTTGCTTGGGACCAATAGGCTAGTCAAGTAAAGGGTGATACGGTCAAAATTTGGTCAATATCAACTTGACGTATTTCTTTCAATTTTGCATTTAAAAAACCTGAACACCCCTCATTTTGAAGGTGTGTGTGTGTAGAATGTTGCTCCTATTTTGATTTTGGAATTCACTCTTCAGTTGTCAAAATGCCGTCCAAGCAAGAAGAGCAGCGTATCAAAATTTTGCTCGCGCATCGCGAAAATCCGAGCTACTCGCACGCAAAGTTGGCAAAATCGCTAAAAGTTGCCAAATCAACCGTTACAAATGTAATTAAAGTGTTTGGGGAACGTTTGTCGACAGCCAGGAAGTCTGGATCGGGGGGAAATCGAAAACAGGAAGCCGCTGAGACGACAAAGAGAGTTGCCGGTAGTTTCAAGCGAAACCCTAACCTCTCTCTCCGAGATGCCGCAAATAAGCTGGGTGTATCGTCTACAACCGTGCATCGAGCCAAAAAACGAGCCGGGCTATCGACTTACAAGAAGGTAGTGACTCCAAATCGCGATGATAAACAAAATACGACGACCAAAGCGCGATCCCGGAGGCTGTACACGACGATGCTGACGAAGTTTGACTGCGTGGTAATGGACGACGAAACCTACGTCAAAGCCGACTACAAGCAGCTTCCGGAACAGGAGTTTTATACGGCAAAAGGAAGGGGAAAGGTAGCAGATGTTTTCAAGCACATGAAACTGTCAAAGTTCGCAAAGAAATATCTGGTTTGGCAAGCCATCTGTACCTGTGGCTTGAAAAGCAGCATTTTCATAGCTTCCGGGACTGTCAACCAAGAAATTTACGTGAAAGAGTGTTTGAATAAACGTCTGCTGCTTTTCCTGAAGAAACACGGTTGTTCCGTACTGTTTTGGCCGGATTTGGCATCTTGCCATTATGATAAAAAAGGCCATGGAGTGGTACGCCGCCAACAACGTGCAGGTGGTTCCCAAGGACAAGAACCCTCCCAACACGCCAGAGCTCCGCCCAATTGAGAAATACTGGGCTATTGTCAAGCGGAACCTAAAGAAGACCAAAAAAACTGCTAAGGGCGATCAGCAGTTCAAGGCAAACTGGCTTTCTGCGGCGAAGAAGGTGGACAAGGTGGCTGTACAAAATCTGATGGCAGGGGTCAAGCGTAAGGCCCGACAATTCGGATTTGGAAAAGCGGAAGCCTAACTGAATATTTTTCCTGAATTTTATACTAATTGAACTTGAAAAAGAAATTTAATTTGATTTTTTAAATAAACGATTTCACCGATTTACACGCGTTTTCCCTTGACCAAATTTTGACCGTATCACCCTTTAGTGAGCCAATTTAAAATCGTTAGTTTCGTATTGATTGTTGGTTCTTCTGTGCTTTGAGAGCTGAATCAGAGAATGATAATCTGTCTCAAATAGAAAAATAATCCGTATGGGGCTCAAGTGAAGCAATAATCATACATTCATGTATGGACAATTTGGTTCAGTGTACCAGCTTTCAATAAACTAATCTGCCTCTTGTAGGGGAAGTGGAGGCAAGACGGACACCTATAGAATTTCATTCATTCCCGGGAAGTGGTCGGAAACTGGTATAAGCAACAACTCATCATGCGACACATAAAATCACATGACCATTCAAAAACGAGATCATTGGCAGCCATATTGAAAATGCGTGTGCGAGCTACCTGATACGCTAAATCGACGATCAAATGTATTGTTTACAAAAGCTGATACGTCCTTTCGAAAAAGTAATCGAGCATTTCCGCTTGAAATCCTTCAGGTCAATTGCAGTTCCACTCTTTTTCTTCAGTATGTGCTTCAAAATCGACCAGTATTCCTCAATTGGCCTTAGCTACGACGTATTGGCCGGATTCATCCACTTGGGAACCACTGCGACGCCATTTGGGCAATCCACCTTAGCTGCTCCAGAAGAGGCAATAGTCTCTTTCGTAGGTACTCCTTCTGGTAAATTTGTTTGTTCATGGTCCCAGAAGTAACGAAAGTTTTGCTTTTGAAGCCTGGTACGCAGCTAAAAAGAAAACGGACAAGTAAATTTTGAGGATTATTCCCAAAAGAAAATTTGACAGGAGTTGAAGAATCAAAGTGACGATTGGTAAGAGGGTAAGTGGGTGAAAATGAAAATGACGTTTTGATATCTATCAAATTGCATGACATTTTTTATTGTATATCATCATTTTTGTAATTGCGAATCTTAAAACTAGGTGTCGCATGACCAGTGTTGGCTTTGCTTTGATTCGCCAATTGATGAATTTAAGTGACGGTCGACCAGCAGATGGAAATGATGTGAAAAATGATTATGACGTTTTGCTACCTGTCAAATCGTATGGAATATTTTTTAGTACATCATCAGCTTTGTAATTGCAAATCTGAAAACTAGGTGTCGCATGGCCAGTTTTACCATAGAGTTTAATCTTAGGCCAGAAGGTCACGAAGCAACGTGCTCAACTTTTTGGCTCAGCTCTGGTACTCTCTTTGGTCTCAAGCTAATCGATACACCCCTCGAAACATAGGAAAATCCACGAACCCTTCTTTTTATCTGTCAAACTTTCATAGCTTATCAAAACAAACATAGTGTAGTACTAGAATTTCAACTATAATGGGGTACGTTAATCGATTTGCTTGGGATCAATAGGCTCGTCAAGTAGTAAGCCAATTAATTATATGATTTGAGTAGTAGCTATACTGAAGATCCGAGAGATGTCGCCCCTTCAGTGGTAGCAAAATCATTTTTGCAGTATGGAGAATATCAGAAAATCCACGATTTGTGACTAAACATGCTTTCACAGAAGGAAACAAATAAACGAGTGTTTACCTTATCACCATAGTAATGTACTCGTGCAATTTTTGTGCATCTAAAACTGCCCATAAAGACGATAATGAATAAAAACTGAAAATTTCCATGCATTTCCAAATGGTTTCCTACCATTCCCATACATTCGAAGTGACTGGCCCTCTGGATGTGGATGATGTTAAAAACAACAAAACATGATTAATTCAAAATCGTTAGTTTCCACCGGTTGGTTTTACCAACAATCAATACGAAACTAACGATTTTAAATTGGCTCACCACTTTAGTAGCCTATTGGTCCCAAGCAAACGATTAACGTACCCTATTCTAGTTGAAATTCTATTACTACACTATGTTTGTTTTGATTCGCTATGAAAGTTTGACAGATAACATCAGGGGTGTGTGGATTCATGCAGAACATGCAGGGGTGAGTGAAATAGCTTG